GCCCGAAACCTATTGCCTTTTTTGGCACATTTTATCAAAACTTTTTTAAATCCATGCAAGAAGTGGCGGTCGATAACAGCAGGAAATATGGCAAAGTCTATGGGTTTGACAATACATTGAAACGATTTGCTTTTGACTTATTTCTCACTAAACATAACTGTTTATAATATATTAGGGGATTCTTCGCCACTCGACCTTTCCTTATGATAGGAGACCCACAACTCGTCAAAGAGATTATGATAAAAGACTTTCATATATTCGCCGATAGAGACGACTTAATAACTGGCGATTCGCTTAACGATAGGACACTATTTGCCCTCAAAGGAGACGAATGGAAAAATATGCGATCAATTGTTAGTAAATGTTTTAATTCAAAATTTTAACAATTATGTTGTACTCTATAAACAAAAACATTTATTGAATGTATTGATAGATAAGTCCAACGTTTTCGTCGGGAAAGATGCGTTCAATGCATCCCATTATCAGTAATTGTGTTAAGAATTTGGAGAAACAGTTTGAGACAACTGTAAGGAATGGGAAACAAGAAATTGAATTAAAGAAAATGATGTCAAACCTAACAATGGATGTGATATCTCAGTGCGCTTTCGGCACTAAACTAGATATTTATGGCGAAAAGACCAGTGATTTTATAACATATGCTCAGAAAATAGTCAACCCATCGCTTCGTATTTGGGTAGTGTTTCTGATTGCGGTGTCGTTTCCAAAGTTTATCAAATGGTCGGGACTATCGGTTCTCGATCCCGGTTCCGGCAAATTCTTCCGCTCAGCCGTCAGTAGTAAATATTATCAATTATAATAAAAATACTGATTTTATGAACTTTTTTCAGATCCGATCGATTATATCGCGTCGAAAAGCGGATAAAACTAAACAAAGAGATTATTTACAACTAATACTAAACGCACAAAACAAGACTCTGGACACGACTGACGAACCGGAAGTCGAGGGCGACAGAAGCGACCAGATTTATGGCAAAACGGATCAATTAAAGGACCAGAAGATTAATAAATCAAAGATAGAGATCTCTGAAGACGACATTCTGGCCACGAGTTTTCTATTCTTTGTGGCCGGATATGAGACGACCGGTTCTCTCTTGACTTTCCTCTTCTATAGTCTGTCATTGGATGAGAAATGTCAACAAAAACTGTATAAAGAAGTCCACAGTTTTGATGGCAATTATAACTACGAAACCATCGTTAAAATGCCGTATTTGGAGGCATGTATTGCCGAAACATTGAGAATTTACAATCCGTTGGTCTTCAATGAAAGAATCGCTGCCGAAGACTACAAATTGGGTTTGTTTTTGACATATAAATACAGTATCTTAACAATAATTTAGAGAGCAATCAATGACTTTTAAAATTGTATAATTTATAGGCGACACAGGAATTACTATTCCTAAGGGAACCACTGTTGACATTGATGTCCAGTCTATACACCATAACCCCGAGTATTACCCGAACCCGGACCGTTGGGACCCTGAGCGTTTTATGCCCGAAAATCGTGATCAATTAGTGCCGTATACTTATATGCCGTTCGGAATGGGACCCCGAAATTGTGTGGGAATGAGGTTTGCCTTAATGGAGGCCAAGACAGCGATCGCTCATTNTGCCGTTCGGAATGGGACCCCGAAATTGTGTGGGAATGAGGTTTGCCTTAATGGAGGCCAAGACAGCGATCGCTCATTTGGTCAATAAGTTTGAGTTTTATCGCACGGAAAACACAACGACTCCTCTAAAGCCAAAAATGATGCAATTTTTGCTCAATTGTGGAGAAGTGAAAATTGGGATGAAATTAAGAAAATAATGTTAATTAAGATATAACTTAAGAAAACAAATACTAATAGAATCGAAAAATAACTGATAAATTAATTTGAATACTGGTTTATAACTTAAAAATAGTTGTGAAATTCTCGGTTGAAATAATTAGTTGTTTTCAAATATTTTTATTCTACTTGTATATTAAGATTCTATTAACGGTTTCCCATATTTTGCATAACTTATTAATTTGTTTATGGTTTTCAATGTCAAAAGTTTGATGCCATTCGTGTAGTCGAGACGATTAGTTTTGCAAATTTTTTGTATAAAATCATTTGTATAAAATATAAACGGATTTTCCTCTATAAGGACTATTAGTTAGCTCAGACCCTAATGTACTTAACTATAATTAATGTACTTTATATTGAAAATAAAATGCATATAAAAACAAACATACTGTCACGTATAAAAACTGTCCATTGAATATTGTCATCGAAACAATCATTCAAAGGTGGCGCGCAATAATTAATTTAGGTCTTACAGTAATTAAGTAATTTAATTAGTCTCAA